AGAACCAACCAGGGTAGAAAAGACCTCTGAGATCATCGAGTCCAACCTATGATGTAACACCACCTTGTCAACTAGACCATGGCACTAAGTGCCACATCCAGTCTTTTCTTAAACACCTCCAGGGACAGTGACTCCACCACCTCCCTGGGCAACCCATTACAATGCACAATCACTCTTTCTGTAAAGAACTTCCTAATGTCCAACCTAAACCTCCTCTGGCACAGCTTAAGACTATGTCCTCTCTTCCTATCGCTAGTTGCCTGGGAGAAGAGACCACCCCCCACCTGTCTATAACCCCCTTTCAGTAGTTGTAGAGAGTGAGTCAGGTTAAAGTGGAAAGTGTCCCTGACCATGGCAGAGGGACTGGAACAAGATGATCTTTAAGGTCCCTTCCAACCCAACTCATTCTATGATTCTATGATTCTAGGATTCTATGATTCTAGGATTCTAAAACTGTGGGTGATTAAGGTTTCATGATAATAGTCCAGAACTGCATATGCTGTTTCTTAAAAGAAACCCTAAACAACACCCCCCTGTAGGGATTAACAGCGGCTCTGTTAGCTCTCTGGAAGAGGAGATGGACTTGGGAAACTTTCGAGTGTGGCCTTGAAGATAAGTAAGTTTTACACATAGGCTAATTGGGGAGCGAGGGTGGACTGTGAGTCCATAGATTTGGAATGTGAGAACCACAACCTTGCCCTTGAACATCTCCAGGTGTCTCACGATTGCTGCCAAGTGTATTGGTAATGATGAGTGGCCAATTAGGATGTTGCTTGCTTACTACTTGCTTGTTACTTGCTGCTTTTTGAAAATTATATAAAAGGAACTTGGATTTAATAAAGAGGGAGGCCTTTTCTTATGTTGCCCTGAATCAGCCTTCTTGTGTGTTTTTTATTGGACCGTCACGACATAACGGCGACATATGGTGACCCTGACGTGATCTCCAATGAGAGATCAAAAGCGATGACGTGATTTCCAGCAAAGGATCAAAACAGACAAGGTGATCCCCATGGAGGGGTCAAAACTCCAGGGGTCATGCGATCCCCACCAAGGGATTGGATGCGACCCTCTCCAAGGGGTTGGGAAAGTGGTGATTTCCAGTAGGGAATCACAATTCCCAGTGAGGAATCATAACTGCAGGGTGAGGTGCAGTGGTGACGGTGCTCGGCGTAGCAGAGAGCAGCCAGAGGAGCTGCCTTGGTCCGGACCAGTATTGTGACACTTGTGGTATACAGGTGAGCCACTAAGAACTTAATCGCGACATGGGGCATTCATTAACTAAAGAGGAATCTCATATACTTTTTACTTGGAAAACCTTGCTCCGAAAACGAGGTGGGAAAGTAGATGAAAATAGTTTAAAACATTTGTTGCGGTGGTGCCGGGAGTAAAGACACGAAACTACTTTTTCTATGGTTTTTAGTGTGACTTTGTGGGAGAAGGTTGGGCAGGCTCTCTGGGAATCTGTCTCCAAGGGAGAGCCCGGCACAGAGGGGTTGCCGACTACCTGGCGTTTGGTGTTAAGTACTTTGCAAGAGTGGCAAAAAGAGCAGGGCAGAGAAGTAGGGGACTCAGTAAAAGACAAGTTTTTTATTGGACCATCACGACATAACGGCGACACCCCCCTCAAACCAAAACAAAACTCATGGTGACTTTGCCAATATTTCACCATATTTGATTTTGCTTATAGCAAGTCCTGTTTTAAATTGCATAATGCATTTGGCTTCTGAGAGCAAATGAACCAGAGATTTATTTAGTGCTGTGTGGCAATGGCCCATTCCAGAAGGAAACTGAGCCATGGAGGGGAGTTCTGTCAAGGAAGAAATCTCATCTGGATAAATGACACACCTTAGCAGAGCATGGTTATTTATGTTTGTACTGACATCAGATGAATGCTGTTCATTCCTTCGTCACTTGTCCTTTCTTCCTTCAGTATTCCTCCAACTCTCCCTTTGGAAGGTCTAATCACCCAATGTAAGGCTTTTAACAGAACAAGGGCACTTTTAAGATAAAGACGTTTGAAAATAAAAAAAATACACATACATTTGTGTATTTCATATATGTGACTTGAATATGTACCCATGCATGACACAGTGCTAGGAAATAGCCATATGTATTAACATTGCACATTTAACCCCAAGAGGTCCTAAGAGATGTAAAATAAACCAAAGCTCACAAGACTCAGTAACGCATGGCCAGTGATAGTCCAAGCTGGTGCAGTGCAGGGAATGGACTTTTGCTGTGGCCAACCAAGGTAGTTGGTAGCACTCCCTCAATGGGACACTTCACTTTTGGTACAGATTTTTTGTGCCAAGACTGCAGTAAGAGGGAAAACTTTTCCCTTGACATTTCTAGATTGTAAAATTATGTATAGACTTTAAGGTTATATGGTAGGACTGTTTTCTACCATATGCATGACCACTACGATGCACCAGGGAATACCAAACTTTAAAAAAAATGGCTAAGGGTTGTTACAACACAAATAAAAACATAAAAATAGCAACAATACAATGGCACCTGCACCAGCACACTATACTGAAACAAACTGCAACGTCTGAACACCAAAGAACACTAAATGGTTCTCTCATCCCTCATGTCACAGATATCTCTACTGAGTGTAGGTGGTTTTACTCCATATTTAATCTCCAGCAACATACAATGAAGTTGCAAATGGCATTACTGAGCATACCAAAACACCTACACAGTAATGATAACAGAGAAATTGTGATATAAATCTATTTTCAGCTTTCATCTCAATATTCAGGATGTCTTCTCTTATCTCTGTTATATATTATTTTTATATTGTGAAAGATGACAAAAATCAAATGAAAAGAGCAATTGGGTTATGGAAGTAATTTCCTGGGACAGAGCTATATGATCTTATAGGGCTTTTTTTCTTCTACATTTTATTTTCTGATTAGTCAATCATCGTTTAGCCACCTCAGCAAAATGCAAGGTGAATTAGGAGAAAGAAGGTCAAGATATTATCATGGAGAAGTTTAATTCCCCCTCTGTGAGAACTGGTCAATAGTTATGGTTAGACTCAAGTGTGGACCTATGTTGGGAATCCCAGTGAAGGTAAAAGGCAGAGAGGATAAAACGCTGCACAGAGATCTTAGATAGTGTTGTGGTTTAAAAAGTATTAAAAAAAGTTTTAAAAGTTTAAACAGCAAATCTGACAGAGCACCTACTGCAAGTTCTACCACTCTGTCTTATGTTTTTATCAGCATGGACAATAAACTGAAGGAAAATGACATGAAATGGCCTTTTTTTACTAATTATATTTCTACATCAACCTGGTGGGGATCATGCCTCTACTTTAGAAACTCATTCGGGTTCAACTGTGTTGAGAATTTTGACAATTTTCTACATCTAAGTGAAATATATTAAAGTGGAAAGTACAGGTTTAGCAAACATTTGTTCAAAAAGCAAAAAGGCTACAAATCCAACTGTAATCAAACTGTGAAATCATAAACTTCCACTAAAAGACTGATAAACAGCCTTGTTAAAAATTTTGAAGACTTTTAGCCCTTGTCTTCTAGGACACAACTTCTTTAATGCAATAGCCACTACAGCACCTGGTGAAGAATAATTTTGTTATTTGTCAGTCATGTAGTAACCCTGATATAACCAGTGACTGAATTCAGTCTCTTTTCCAATATTTTTTGGTGTCTCGTTTCTGGGTGTCACAATTGGTCTGATATAATATGGTATCATGAATGGGAATGTTTTCATGGGGTAAGTTCTCATTTTAGACTGTTTTTCATTGCTATAGTCCAGATACTGGTCTCAGTGAAGGAAATGGAAGTCTCAGTGGCTTAAGCATGAGGAGTCTTTCGAACTCAGTTACAAGTCAATGAAAAACTTTAGATCATTACTTTGGCAGTTTATACAATTCTCTGCTCCCTCTGTGTTCTCAGCTGTTTCACTTTTCATTTTGGAAGCTACAAATTATGAGGGTTTTGGAGTTCTTTTTTAGCACATCAGAATGTCATCCACCACTGTTTGGTTCAGTAAAGCTCACCCTTTTCCAGAACCTAGTGTGAAATCTGCTTTATGATAAATACCTGATGGTGCAGGAGCTCTGAGCTTGCTCCCAAGCTAAATTCATTTATATTGCAGCAAAACACCTGCCTCTGTGTCATCACAAAATCAGCTCCCTATTGTAAAGTACAATTCAGTCTCTCAGATAAGATTCAGATTTCTTTTTTTGCCCCTCTGCGGGACAGGAGTAGATGTCCTTAGCAGCTGAAAGGAGCTTCCTCCCTCTTCATGTATCCAGCTTATATTTCCAAGTCATGAGACACAAAACTCTTCAGTCAACTGGTGAAGGTTTATTGCTTCCATGACACCAGTCTCTTCCCACAGTCACTCAGTGCTCAGGATAATTACTTTACATGACACCTGCCAACTGGAAGTGACAGATTTACACTGGTATTGTACCCAGGATCTCCATATATTTAACCCAACCAACACTGTGATGGATCCCTCTGGATCAGCAGTATACCACACCAGTCATGGGACACAGACTCAGCTCCACAACTTCTCATGCATCTGGTTCTTCCCATCAACAAATGGCTTTTGTATGCTTTTTGGTCCAGAGCAGAGACTCTTCACTCTTTACTATGGCTGTTCTCCCAAAGGCTGAGCAACAACTACCACCCCATGAGATTAGATGCCAATAAGGTGCTATAAGTGATGCCATTGCAGAATGCAATGGTGAGATTTTTGGAGGAAGCGCAACAAGCTATGAGAGATAGATGAAGGTAGGACAAATATTCAAAAAAATGTGCAACAACTCGAAGACTTTTAAAGGTTTTGGTTTAAGGCATGGTCAACTTTCTTATTGATCTCCCCAGAGTCTGGATGCAGACTGGCAGTCAATTCAAAAAAACAGAGAAGTTATTGACTCATAAACATATTTGGTGTAAATGACAAGTCCCTCTTTGTTCAACATTGAAATTTAAATGCAGTAAGGTAAAATAGAATAAAGCAGAGCTTACCTGAAGAGCCTGAAGAATCATAAGTACTTATCTTCTTCCTATTTGTCCTGAAGGGCTGAATGTCCTTTTCCCTGTAAGTTCCAAACCCTTCAAAACTTCTTTTATTCCCACTTGCATCATTGTCCTTCTTTTCACTTGAGGAATTCATTTCACCAAACATGTCCAGGGACTCTGACCTTCCATTACTCTCAGTATTACCAGAGTACCTCTTTGTGCAAGAGTCAATGAGATCATTGCTTGAGTCACTTTTATCTTTACTCTGTGTCCACTGCTGGGCATCAAAAAGTAATAACCTAGACACTTCAAAGTTACTCTTTGAGCCTTTGTGTCCAGTTTCACAATGCTGATACTTCTGCTTCTCCTTATGTTTTCTTTTCTCATTGAGCAAGGAGAGGTCTTTATCTGAGCTGCTTAGCCTTTCATTGATTGTGTGGCTGGAGAAGTCAGTGGACTTGCTAGCAAACAGACCACTCAGGTCATGTGTCCCCAATATTTGCTCATCTTTATGCTTGTGCTTATGTTTGTGTCTTTTTTTGTGAAGTCGGCTACTTAAAAGGCTTGTTCCTCCAACTTTTGGAGGAGTCAAAGAGGACTGCATGTCTCCAAGGTTCATTCCCACAGATGTTTGTAGGTGCACTCCGTGTTTTGCTTTATGTTTGGCAGTGGTGGACATCTTCATATGAGAGCTTTCATAGAATTGGGGTGGGGGTAAGGTAGGCCTCATGAATGGGGAAGCTGCTCCGAACGTGTGAGAAAGGTACAGAGGAGCTGGATACTGACCATAGTAACCAAGATTCATCATAGGCATTGATGTGTAAGGCATTCCATAGGGTGCATAGTAACTCCCACTGGGAATAGGGTAACTGAACCCTTGTAAAAAAGGCATTTTTGTCATGGTGTCATTGGTTTTGGTAGCTCTACCATGCTTCTTCTTAGACTTCATGTCAGAGGTCCTGCGAAGATAGAGCAATGGGTCATACTGGACATATGGCACAGGGTAGTAGTGATCAAAATTAATCCTGAAGATGCTGGGATATGGATTTTCATGATAAAATGTATAATTTCTATGGGAAATCCTGAACACTTGAAATTTATTGATGAGTTCCTCAAGGTCTGTCAGAAACTGGATGTCATCTTTGTTCTGTAGGTTTTTCCTTTTCCTCTTGTGCTTTGGCTTTTTAATACTCTCATGAGAGAGAAAGCTATCCACAATGAGATGTTTTTGCCGGTGACCATGCCTATTCTTTGTGCTGGTGTCAGATGGGATAGCCTCTGGATTGTCCAGAGTGCAGAAATCAAAGGAGTATCTCCGACGGGATTCTGAGCTTTTCTCAGCTTGGTCAGAAGTG